CAAGGCCTCAACAGGGCAGACGAACGGAAGTGATCGCCTACGCCAAAGTTCACTTCGCTCATCCTATCCACTAGGTACATTGGTTTCTCCCAGGCGAAGTCCCTTCATAGCCGCCCGATTGAGCGTCGGGAACTACCTAGGGCCACTGATAGGACGCTACGAGCGCACGGCCGAGAAGGCAGGAAACTTGCTATTCCCAATTCACGATGGGTTCCCTGCGTATGGTGAGCGCGTCCTCTAAGCGCCACAGCCATTCACTGCCGCCTTCAGTGGGCCTCTTAACTTCACAGGCCGACGCAATTGTTACTTGTGTACCGGTTGAACTTCTTTTCTCGGCTCTTCCACAGGAGCATTCGTTGTTTAACCCCATCTGTGAAAACCCTTCCAGAAACATACATACATACATAGTTTATTACGCCCCGGCTAAACTATTCAGGGCTCGCGTGATTATCTACATATTCTCCACTTCGTTTATATCCTTGCCTCCCAGAAGCCCATACAAGTCTTGTCCGTCTCCGCGTATGTTATCTTCAGTTTTACATGCCGATGCTGCGGTTGCTCGTGGGTTAGTAACAGGCCATCTTGAAGGTGTCTCCTAAAGTGTTCGGCGTCCTATCGTCGGCGGCCGAAGCTAGTCCTGCTGTCGATGGCACGAGGGTGCGTGGGGGATGTCGTCGGTTAGTGTGTTGATGTAGGTGGTGTGTGGTTTCGCTGCTGGCTAATCTGTGCATCCAGCCTCTCCGTGCTCATGGCGAACTTGATCGTCTCTTTGACAACGTCTACGCTTGGCGACCAATCCTTAGGGTGGGACGCGCGCTTTCCTCCCAGGAAGTATGACAGATTTCCTCTCCGCGTTTCCGTCTGTTGGAGCATCCGAGTCCGCTGTGCCGTCCACTGTGTGCATCGAAAGAGAAAATGCTCTACCGTTTCTGCAGATTGCCCGCAAGCGCATAGCGCCGCGGCGGTTGCGCCGATCTGGTAGAGGTACCAGTTCAGCCTTGCCATTCCGGTGCGTAGTTGCGCTAGAATGCTGGCTTCTTTCCAGGCCAGCCCGTCATACAGCTTGCGTGTGTGGTTTCCCGGCAGGGCTATGTCGATCTTCTTCGAATATGCTCCTACGTTGTCGGGCAAGGCTCCGTGCTTCTGTCGCACGCTCTGTAAAGCGATCCTAAGTGCCGTCGAGTAGGCTCTGGCCGGCCGTTTTTGTGGTGTCTTGTTTACTTGGGTACTTTCCTTTGCTGCTGCTTTGGCCGCTTGCGCCAGGTCTGACTCTATCGATGATGGAAGCCAGAAGAGAGTGACTCTGTTGCCTCGTCTCTGCAGAGCTTGCACGCTGGCATATAGTTGTCGGACCTTCCAGAAACATACATACATACATAGTTTATTACGCCCCGGCTAAGCTGTTTAGGGCTCGCATGATTATCTACATATTCTCCACATTCGTTCATATCCTTGCCTCCCAGAAGCCCATACAAGTCTTGTTCGTCTCCGTATGTGTCTTTTTTAGTTTTGCATGTCGATGCTGCGGTTGCTCGTGGGGTTAGTAGCAGGCCATCTCGGAGTTGTTTCTCAAAGTGTTCGACGTCCTATCGTCGGCGGCCGAAGCTAGTCCTGCTGTCGATGGCACGAGGATGCGTGGGGGTGTCTCCGGTTAATTTGATGATGTTAGTTGCGTGTGGTTTCGCTGCTGGCTGATCTGTGCATCTAGCCTCTCCGTGCTCATGGCGAACTTGATCGTCTCTTTGACAACGTCTACGCTTGGCGACCAATCCTTAGGGTCGGACGCGCGCTTTCCTCCCAGGAAGTATGACAGATTTCCTCTCCGCGTTTCCGTCTGTTGGAGCATCCGAGTCCGCTGTGCCGTCCACTGTGTGCATCGAAAGAGAAAATGCTCTACCGTTTCTGCAGATTGCCCGCAAGCGCATAGCGCCGCGGCGGTTGCGCCGATCTGGTAGAGGTACCAGTTCAGCCTTGCCATTCCGGTGCGTAGTTGCGCTAGAATGCTGGCTTCTTTCCAGGCCAGTCCGTCATACAGCTTGCGTGTGTGGTTTCCCGGCAGGGCTATGTCGATCTTCTTCGAATATGCTCCTACGTTGTCGGGCAAGGCTCCGTGCTTCTGTCGCACGCTCTGTAAAGCGATCCTAAGTGCCGTCGAGTAGGCTCTGGCCGGCCGTTTTTGTGGTGTCTTGTTTACTTGGGTACTTTCCTTTGCTGCTGCTTTGGCCGCTTGCGCCAGGTCTGACTCTATCGATGATGGAAGCCAGAAGAGAGTGACTCTGTTGCCTCGTCTCTGCAGAGCTTGCACGCTGGCATATAGTTGTCGGATCTCTTGTTGGCCTGACTGCTGCCGCGGGTTGTGCATCACCAACACTGCCGCTTTGTTGCGGGTGAAGACGTGGATGGCCCGGTACTCGAGTCTCTCTGGGAGAGACTTGACCGCTTCTGCCAGTGCCGCTAGCTCTGCTACATACGGGTTCTGCTCCGTTCTCTGACCGAACGTACGCGAGGCCGTCACGACGCCACCGCCCCCTCTGAAAGATGCGGGCAGCGTCGTCGCCGTTCCAAAGCCCACAACCTCGTTCCTTGCTGAGCTCCCTGTCGCTATCCTCACTGCCCATCCAGACCGGATTGCCTCAGAGGCCTTGACCGTGTCGTCGTCGACTACTGTATCAATACGACGTTCCCAAGGAGCGATCGAATACCCTTCGATAGTCTCCAGCTTGTCAAGGGGTAGGTCGCGATAGGCCTCCGCCATCAACTGGAAGGGTGACGGAAACCGTCTAAAGGCCACCGCCCGCAGACGTCGAAGCGGATGGGTCTTGGGAAGGCTTCGCAGCCGTACCCAGAATGTCGTTGATTTTCTGTCGTACCTCTCTTGCGCCGATTGTATGCTTGCCTCCGCTTCAGCGACCGCCGTGGCCACCGTGTTGAAGGTTCCCACGATCGCTTGGGCGCCAATCCTCTGCACTCGGTTGATCACCCTCATCTGCGCTGCTCGACACCTGTACCTCCAGACGTTCGACGCGTAGTCCATCGTCGGTGCTACGGCCGCCACGAAAAGCTGTCTGGCCGTCGCCGGAGACAGGCCTTTGAGCCGTTTGAGCCCCAGCACGGCCTCCAGCCCTTTTGTCGTCGCGTCTGCGATGTGCTTTTCGAAACGGAGTTTCGTGTCCATCATCACTCCCAATACTTTGACGTGGTCCTTTGCTCGGACAGTGTCACCTTTGATGACGAAGCTGGTTGAGTCCGCCGGCAGCCTCCAGTTGCGCGTGAAGTGGATGATGGCCGTCTTGTCCGTCTCGAACGTCGCCCCGCTTCGTCGTTCCCACGCGAGTGCTCGATCGATAATATCTTGGATGCCCTGACGGTTTGCTTCGCGCGATCGGCCTGTGACCCACGCCGTGTAGTCATCGACGAAGGCCAGCGCGCCCCCGTTCTCGTCGATTTGGTGCTGTACGAGATCGGCGTTGAAGAAGAGGAAGAGCACGGGCGAAAGCGGCGAACCCTGAGGCAGTCCGGCTTGTGGTAGCGGACGAGCCTCGGACTCGTGACCGTTAACCAGGATGCTTGCCGTTCTATGGGAGCAGAAGGCGTCCACCCATCTCACCAGCTTGTCCGGGATCCCCCGCGCTCTGAGTCTTTGAAGTAGTCTCTCTTTGTACACACCATTGTATGCTCCCTTGACATCGAAGCTGACCAGACTGACCACCTTTCTCTTTCTCCACGCTCTGTAGATGTACTCCTGCAGCAGTACCAGCGCCTGCTCTGCCGACCTCTGCTTGCGAGCGCCAAAGTGGCTCGTGGGAAGGAGGCCGAACGTCTCGACAGCGTGCGAGATACGTTCTGCCAGGACCGACTCCAGCACTTTTCCGAGCGTCGAGAGAAGCGAGATCGGTCGCCAGGCCTTCGCTATACCGTAGTCGCTTTTGTTTGGCTTCTTCAGCGGGATGATCTTCGCGTGTCGCCACTGCCTCGGCAACACCCCTTCATCCAGTGAGGTCTGGAAGAGTGTAAGCACCCTCTCCTTCACCACTGGCCATGTGTGCTTCCACACTGCCACCGGCAGACCGTCCTCTCCGGGTGCTTTCCACGACTTTGCCGCAAAGAGCTGTCTCTCTACTTCTCCCAGTGTGAGGTTAGGGAAGGGTACCGGCGATCGTTGTGGCTGACCCCCCTCCTCCTCGATCATGCTGGGGAGAGGAGGGAAAAATGTGGAGAGCAGCTCTTCGGCCTGTTCTGTGGCGTCTCCCGTTTGGGAGCCATCCGCCCTTTTAAGTTGAGGTATCTTGTCGAAAGATGCCCCTTTACTGGCGTCGAGATACTTCGCGGCCTTCCAGATATTGGCGTCGTCGGCCAGAAAGTCCTCCCAATGGCTCTTCTTCTGTTGTCGGATGGCGTCGTGATATTGCTTGGCTGCCGAGCGGGCGCGTTGTTCCAGTTCGGGTTGAGTATTACCTGCCCTTCTCTCCGCTCTCGCCCGGTTTCTCCAGTGAGTGTGGATCTGCCGGAGCTGGGTGAGATCAGCCGTCCACCATCTCTTTGCATACGGTGATGGCTTCGCCGTAGGTGTCAGTGCCTCTACTGCCTCACACACCACAGATATCAGTCGATCCGTCTGCTGCTGCACCGTACCTCCCGTTGGCACTCGTCCTAGGTTTGCTTCTACCCTCTCATTGATCTGCTTCCATGGAGCGTTCTTGAGGAGGAGCCGTGGCCGGCTTTCCATCTCAGGCGCGGCGATGTCGAAGGTCGTCTCGATCGCCCGGTGGTCCGACCCGTGGTCCGTCTTGTGCAGGGCGCATCGTACCACCGCTCTTGCTAGCTCTTCGGACGCGAGGGATAGGTCGATCGTCGTAGTCGTCTCGTTCTTCTCCCACGTCTTCGTCCCCCTAGGGAGGAGGCTGCGGAGCGAGTACTCGCTCATTAGATCGATGATCGGGTCCGCCTCGCCCTGCCGGCCCTCCGACACATCATCACCTCCCCACAGGTAGTCGTGGCAGTTGAAGTCTCCTACCAGGGCCACGTCCACCCTTTCACCTGTTTCTCCTCGGACATTTGTGATAGCTTGCTTCAGCAGGACGCACGCCTGCCGCAGCATCTCCGGCTTCTGCACCGGCACGTACACCGACGCCACTAGCAGCCTTCGATCAGGAAGCCGGACGACGGCCGCAGTGATATCCGAGGACGCTATCGGCACCTGTTCCGCCTCTACTTCTCTGTTCACCCACAACAAACTTCTAATCCCCCATCTCCCTTCGTCCCTCCACTCCGTCGGCACCATCTTCGTCCACCTGTTATGTCCCATCGGAACAGTAATGACCTTACCTTCTATCCTCCGCGCCCATGGCTCCTGCACCGCTATGGCCGTGAAGTCGCGCAACGCCTCGTCATTCATCAGACTTTCGTGCACTGCAGCCTGTTTCCTCACGTTGAGCTGAAGGATCTGGACCTTCCTACTCATGGGAACGC